AGCGAGCTGCTCGGTGCAGGCAGGCGACGTGCTGCCGCTGGGCTGGGCTGGGCTGCCCGGGGGGAGATGATTCCTGGCCAGGAGGGAGCCTCTGGGAAGAAGACCACGGGGGAAGCAAAGTTTCGGGGCAGCTGAAGAGCCCTGGCTGCAGCCCTTCCGAGCCCGATCACCTCCCTGGCTATGGAGGGAGGACTCTAAAATGAATCCCGATCTGGACACCGGCCACAACACATCAGCACCTGCCCACTGGGGAGAGTTGAAAAATGCCAACTTCAGTGGCCCCAACCAGACCTCCAGCAACTCCACACTGCCCCAGCTGGACGTCACCAGGGCCATCTCTGTGGGCCTGGTGCTGGGTGCCTTCATCCTCTTTGCCATCGTGGGCAACATCCTAGTCATCTTGTCTGTGGCCTGCAACCGGCACCTGCGGACGCCCACCAACTACTTCATCGTCAACCTGGCCATCGCCGACCTGCTGCTGAGCTTCACCGTCCTGCCCTTCTCGGCCACCCTGGAGGTGCTAGGCTACTGGGTGCTGGGGCGCATCTTCTGTGACATCTGGGCAGCTGTGGACGTGCTGTGCTGCACAGCCTCCATCCTGAGCCTGTGCGCTATCTCCATTGATCGCTACATTGGGGTGCGCTACTCTCTGCAGTACCCCACGCTGGTCACCCGGAGAAAGGCCATCTTGGCGCTCCTCAGTGTCTGGGTGTTGTCCACCGTCATCTCCATCGGGCCTCTCCTTGGCTGGAAGGAGCCGGCACCCAATGACGACAAGGAATGCGGGGTCACAGAAGAGCCCTTCTATGCCCTCTTCTCCTCCCTGGGCTCCTTCTACATCCCTCTGGCGGTCATCCTGGTCATGTACTGCCGCGTCTACGTCGTGGCCAAGAGGACCACGAAGAACCTGGAGGCAGGCGTCATGAAGGAGATGTCCAACTCCAAGGAACTGACACTGAGAATCCACTCCAAGAACTTTCACGAGGACGCCCTCAGCAGCACCCGGGCCAAGGGCCACAACCCCAGGAGTTCCATAGCTGTCAAACTTTTCAAGTTCTCCAGGGAAAAAAAAGCAGCCAAGACCTTGGGCATTGTGGTCGGTATGTTCATCCTGTGTTGGCTGCCCTTCTTCATCGCTCTCCCGCTTGGTAAGTTGGGGCCGGGCAGGGGGGACCTCGATGTTTTCGGATCTTGAGTTTCCTGATAAGCTTACACTAAAGTTTTCGTGTGGGGTTTTTTTTTTTAATGAAGTCTGTGTGTGTCTGAAGATTGGATAATACTGTTGGTTCTGCAAAGGCTTTGCAGATTGGGGAGCTGGCTAAGAACCAACTCAGGTGTTAGTGGAGCACACTAAGGTACTAGGCACTTGAAATAGAACCAGAGCAGGAAGCTGTAGATGTAGAATGACTCACTCGCCAGCCAGCCTTGGTTTAATAATTAAAAGGATACTGGGCTTGAGCATCACACCAGCGTTATTTCAGTAGTAATGATGTGTCGGCTAAGGCAGCGTCACTAACACAGCATACCAAGTAGCTGGTAGTTACTGCAGACGCGGCATCTGGGAAGCAGGGAGGCAGCTTGTTCACAGAAGACATTCATTCAGCATTTCCAGGGCTCTTGCAGAGCCCTCAGGAGTTTTGCAGAAGCTGCATGCAGTCTTCCACTCCTCCGTCACCGTCACCGGCACCGGCACCACGGGCTAGCACCTCAATGCAATGCCTTCATTTTCAGTTAATAAGAGCATTTTACAGCCACACAGCCCTGCTGGGCCTTTCATTTATCTGAAGCTTGAGGTTTGAAAAACATGACTGGAGGGTCACACATTCTCAGGGTTCATCCCCAAATGCTCCTAAATCTGGTGATTTATGGAATGTCCAGAATTAGATTATAGTTGATCCTCACCTGGGCAAAATGGCAAGATGGAACTCTGCATCCTTCCCCTTTCACAGAAATGTATCCGTGCTATACTGCTTGGTGGTCCTGCTAACTAAATCATTCAGAGGTTTAACTGATTGCGTCTAAGAAAGAAGCCAGGGTCGGATGAGGAGGTAAACCTAGAGCAGGGTACTGGGACATACTGTCTGTACGGCTTTGGGAAACCCTCGTCCCTTCTCTGAAGCACTGGTCTGCTTTGATTCTTCTCCTGTCCCTGGAGAACACTACAGAAAATGAATGGAGGGAAGCAATCATGGCACAGTCATGTGCCACGGTGTCAGAAGCGCTGGCAGCTGCTACATGCCACAGATCACATGCGCCTGCAATCTCAGCAGGGTCTCAGTTATAAAGAAATGTAACCAAACCCTCAAGCAACTAAAATTCTGAAGATACACTGCTTTCGGGAGAAAAGATGAATGGAAAGAGAGTAAACTAATAAAGAGTTTCCATTTTTAAAAGACAGAAAGGAAAAAAACTGTTTAACCTACTCTCCATGTCATCTTTTACAAAGCAGGCTTGCAGGTTCTTATCTTTAAGAAATATTTTCAATGCCTAGCATTAAGTGGGAAGCTTGAAGTTCTACCCTAGGAGCAAGCACATCCTACTGCAGAGGAGCTTGCTTCTCTTTTCCAAGGTCCCCAGGTGCTTTTGCGGGCTTGTTGGGTTAACAGTGGATGTTGGTTCACACTGCTTTGCACTAGGTCATACAAAGATCGTGGTCATATGTAGAGGTGATTTGACTTATTAGCTATGTGACCATCAGCAAATGACTGCTCCCGAGTGAGCCTCAGCTTCTTCCTCTGCAAAATGGGGCTAATTAGTATTTGTTCCATGGACTTGGCACCAAAATATGGACCTAGTACAATATCTGGCAAAAAAAAAAAAAAAATGCTCAGTGAAAATTAGCTATCAGTACTACAAAAAGTCACGCCCGTGGGAACAGTAGTGTGTTTTCACCTTCTCTACTCATTTATCAATCCCACACCTGTTATTAAAGCCTCAGAAGAGAATTAGGTCTTTCTTCTTTCTGCCCCTGTCTTCCAGCCCACAGAGGCTGAGCATGCTCAAGAAAGGAAAGACCCCTGCAGGATACAGAAGTGATCAGAGGTACAGGTTTTGATTTTAGGATGCAGAAGAAACAAACTCTGAATTCATAGGAAGTTTCCAGCAAGTTGAAATGGAATGTCCTGCTCTGGTAGTCAGGAGAAAAAGATTTCTCATTTGAATTCTGCCATCCACTAACTCTATGTCCCTAGAATTGTTGATTTACCTCTCTGGACCTCAGATCTCAGGCCTGGACAATAAGAGAGCTGAATTATATTGCAGGATCAATTAAATATGTAGCCAATTGGGCTCAACATAAAGAGAATCAGATTGAGTAAAATCCAGTGGCTCCCAGGAATCTGCGTGTTTAATCAGCCCCCAGGTGATCCTGAAGACATGCACCATGGACCAGGCTTTGAGGATCACTGGCCAGGATCACTCAGCTCCCTTTAGAGCCTAACATCCTCCATGGCAAGGGTTTTGCATCCTGTAAAGCTTAGATGTTCCCCAGCCTCACAGTGGTATAAGATGCTGTGGCTCCTCTTGGGGTCCTACACTTTGAGTCATCAAGCCCACTGTTCTTCTCACTCACATTATCACCACAGTTTTTCTCCTCTCTACCTGTGCCTTTCTGAGACCTTGACCTCCTAGCATCTCAGGTCCTTGGCTTCCATGCCATAGAAAATGAGAGGTTCTTCTCCCTCGAATGGACTCAGAGTGTTTGTCCTCTCATTGCTATGGAACCTTTCTGACTCTCCACATCATGACCTCCTGAAGACTTTCTAAGCTGGCTCCATCCACATCCTTCTTCCTTAAAAACCCAATAGGTGAGGTGAGGAATGTGAACTCCAGCCTTGGGTTCAGGAAGGGCTCCAAAAGGCACTCAAGAGTTCAAACAGAGAAGCAACATAATTAATGTTTTCTTGATCATTGAGAAAAACATCCCAACAAAATGAAGATGTAGATTTTTACTTCCTCTGACTTAAAATAACATCCAAATAAAAGTAGCGTAAAGAACAATAGCTCCTTTGAAATCTAAAGAAGGTTCCACATTCTACATTTTCCACGAGGGCTTCCCACTCAGAAGGGGTGAAAGCAGATCTTGGGGAAGACCATGCTGGGCAAACAGAAAACTGCAGGTAGAAGTAATTTCCACTGGTGCTAGACTTTCAGGTGCCTAGTGGCAGGAGATTTCCATAGCTGTGTTTGTTTTCTCCATAGGAGAGAAGGGTTGGGATTCCTTCTGGGAAAGAGGAAAAATAGCCATGCCCCCCACTGGATCATGTTCAGGGGCCCCATTTGTTTTTCCTCCTCGCTTATTTTTATTTTTGGGAGCAGGGTGAGGCTGCCTGTAGAGCAGGGCCTCATGTCCCCCCAGCTGTGCCCTCCCTCCTCACCTCCTCCCTACAGTTGCCCTGTGGCCACAGACCAAGCTGGACCAGGGTCCAATGCTCACTCACTGAGGAGCAGAGATGGACTCCACCAAACAAGGGCCTTTTTATCTGGCCCCTGGAATCAGGCCTGGGAGGGGCAGGAAATAATTGGAATGGAGTATAGAAGTATTTCTACTCCATGGGCCACGACCAAGATGTCTGAGGGGCTCTTTAGCTGCCTGCTGTTACAATGAAGACCAACTCCCACCCTCCCAGGGATGGCCTATTCAGGGTCTCTAGAAGCAGCAGGGCCATTGAGGGATGCGCACTGCTGCCTGGGGGGCAGCAAGGCAGGGAAGCAGGAAGTGCTGGGCAGCCAACTCGTAGCTGGGCTTAGTGAGTTGTTTAGAAAACACTGGAACCTTGCCTTGCTCCAAATCTTTCTTCGTCTTTTAAAATGCTAAAAGGCACCAGGAAGCCATTATTGAGCTAACTGCTTTCCCCTTCAAATAAATGAAGGTCAATTTCAAAGAAATGGTTGTGCTCTCTATAGTCCTGGAACCAAATAGGAATCCCTCTCTCCAATGATTTTGAGTCTGCAGCCCTCTCACTCAAACAGGGGCTGATGAATTTCCAGCCTCCACAGGCACAAGGGAGAATGAGGGTCACAGTGACAACTTAGGACAGAACCACACCTACAGACATACATGTTAATCCTCCAACTCAGAGGTCTCAAAGCACAGGGATTTGAGTTGCCTATGAAGAAAGCAACTGGTTTGAGTATCTGGTAAGGGGAAAATTTTTGCACGCAGAAATCTTTGTCTGGAGGAGGGAAATCTTACTGAAGTAAAATGTGTTTTACTGTAACTCCTTCATAAAGATTTTCTAAAGTGCCTATTGTGTGCTACACACTGTAGTAGTCGCTGAGTGTTGAACCAAAAGCAAACAGTCCCTGCCAGCATAATCAATATATGATTACTGAACACATACTATGTGCCAGACATTCTGATGGGCCTCCTACAGATTAATCCTCACAGAGCTGCCCTGACGTGGGAATCAGTGCTTCTCCTTACAATGAATATACCAAAGCTCAGCAAGGCAGAGTTGAGGAGTTAGTCTGCTAGAACAGGCCACACCTGTCCCATCGCACCTAGGAGATGTCTGACCTTTTCTCCTCCCTGGTCACAACCTGCTGTCATAAAAAACATGCTCCAAGAAGCCTAGAGTCACTCTGTCAAAAGCTAGGCATGTTTTTCTGTTGCAAAATCTTGATCCTCTTGGGGAAAAAAAACAACTCATGAAATTCAAGGCAGACCATCCATGTTCACACTCAGGGCAAAATCTTGTCCACATCCCCTCCATGGTGTATGCTATGGGTCTCTCAGGACAAACTGAGCACATGGTCAGTCACCCAGCCAGAAGGAAAAAAACTTGGAGGGACCTTGCCCTTCTTCTAAGAATATGGGTCCACATCTTTAATCATACATTCATGCACTGAGTAAATATGGATTTATTGAGTGGCTACTGTGTCCAGGCTTTTTATTGGAGAAACAATGGTGAGTAAAATATTAAAGTTCTATAGAATTTAGCTCTATTGAGAAGGCAGGTATTAAAACAAACAAATAAACATGAATGCAAAATGTGATACGTGATTTGAAGAATGGGGGAGAGACGTTATTAGAATTATATAACAGGGATCCATCTGTCGTGAGGTCCCCAGGAGAGTGACATTTAGGCAGAACCCTAAGAGTTTAAGGGAGCTAACTCAGTGAGAGGAACTGGTAGGAAAGGGATCC